CCTCACTGTGTTCTGTGTACGGAACAACAGACTGACTCGAATACCTTCAGAGGTGTCACAGGCCATGGAACTTCATGTCCTAGATGTGGCAGGGAACAGGTAAGTAAGGTTTTTGCTGGAGAGAAATAAATAATACACCGAGCCCCGTTCTTTGCCGTGCATCTCTGCAGCTGTGGCATTACACTGCTTAACTGAACAGCAGGAGGGGTTAGAGAATTCGTGATGGGGACCAAACTGCTAGAGCCAGGTGGAGCAGTGACAGCAGAACCTGAACTTCGGCTATTTCAGAGCAGTGTGCTTCCTAGATGATAGTGCATCCAGAAGACCAGGTGGGACCGGAGGCTTTGCCTTAGCTTCAGCAGCTACTTTTGGTAGTCACAGTGGGCCTTAGAGATGTTTCGTTCCAAAATAAGCTTGAATCAGTTTGAACTTTGTTTTTTCTTCTGAGTCAGGGTACAGTTTTCAGTATGATATTGAAGCTAGGCTGGGGCCATCCTCCTGCCCTCGCCTCCCAAGAAGCAGGGACCAGAGTCACATACTATCAAGCCTGGCCGAATTTGAAACACAGGTCTTGATATTCTGTGCTAGTTGTTTTCAATCTCCTGACTTTGTAAATGAAGTTGTGTGTGTTGGGGCATGTGTATGGGGAGAGGCTCCATAGTGTCAGAGTATTCAAATGATTCAGAATCCTAGCTACAGTTAGAAGCAGACAGTGCCCCTGTGACACAACACCGCTACCCTTCATATTTCCATCTCTGCACTGTGCCAGGCATCATGGTTTAGAGTGCAGTCCCCTTTCAAGCATTCGGAGTTAGTTTCATCACTCCAGATGCCATATGCACCTTCTCCCTGGGCCTGCACAAGCTAGCCTTTCTACCTGGGACCCCCTTCCCTGACTCTGCCTTGGCTCTTCATCACCCTCTTTACTTTCTCTTGGGGTTTTCCCTTTGGACCTTCGGAAAGAGCTTGCCCTGTAGTGATGCCTGTTGGCATGTATGTGTGTAACCCATCTGAGCTTGATGTTATCTTAAGGTACACAGTCTGCTTCGGAGCCACCGTATCACCCCCCCCCCATCACAGCATCTAGCACATGGTGGGTGGTAAATACTTGACTGAAGAAAAATGCTAATAGCTTTGCAGAATGAGCAGCATGGTGTTTCAAAAAGTGTTAAAAATCTTCATTGCTAACAGGAATCTAAAAATTGCTTTTGAATGTGATGGGGATAGAGAAACAGTAATGTATTAAACTGGAGAAAGCTGATTTTACTTGGTAAAGGCCCTCAGGGTAGAGCACTTGGGGAATGGCTCCCACATACTAACTAGCTGGTCACTTAGGTCAGGCACAAGCTAACAGTCTTCATCCTTTGCATTGGACCCTGGACAGCTGGGGCTAAATAAGCTGTAATTGGAGGTGAGCTATGGCCTCGGAATGCTCACCTTTTTAAAGGTTAATCCTCTGGGGAAATCTTGATGGGTTCTTAAGGCCATTAAGAGGTGACTGCAAACTCAGGATTGATTTGGACTGAATGTCAATTTCTGCTGTCTGCTCGCTGGAGCCTTTGCTCCTGGGAAGTACTGTTCTTTGCAGCTTCCTTTCTGCAGCCGGGGAAACTCAGGACCTCTGGACATTTCCCAGTCTTGGCCACACTGGGAATCATGAATTGACATTCCTAATCCTTGAGCAGACAACTGGCTGTGGTTTCTGAAACTGTCTCCTATGAGTAGTGGCACAGTTCTCCAGTGCTCAGAAGAAAGGGAAGTTACATTTTTATTATGCTTGGGGTGGGGTGGAGACACTTAGTTCAGAAGCTGAAGGGCATAGTCTCCATCTGAGTCAGTGAAATGCTCCATTTTGTCCATCCATATATAAATTCATAGCTAAATTCTCAGCCTTTAAAATGTCTAATCACTACTTGTCTTAAAATTTCAGTATTGAAAGTAATAATAATAATAATAATAATAAGTCAGTGTTGGAACTTGCAGGAATGCCGTCCATGGGAGATGATTGAAGGTGCAGCGTCTAGCTCTAATCTCAAGTATGTAATAGTGGTGCTCGCCAGTGAGGCTGCCTACGACTGTGCAGGAACTCGCTGTAATAGACCTGGCAGGATGAATCACCACAAGGGTGACTCTAGAGTACCGTGTGGGAACTATGAAGCCCTCTGTGGCAGTGGCAGGAAGTGTTCTGTATCATCAGCTACTCTGGGGCACAGGACAAAATTTCTTAACTCTTAATAAACTCTCTGCCTAGAAATACTCACCAGGAACATACAAATAGGGTACTTGGGGATCTTGCGTCAATGTAAATAGTACCAGGTACTAGAAACTGTCAGTTAGTAAGGGAATAGGTTAGACTTGAGTTTTGTGTTCTGGATGTATATACACATATATCCTAATAAAACAATTTAAACCATTTAAAACTGGGATATTAAGTCATCAAAAGTGAGATTATTTGTCTGCATTCAAATGAGGACTCATGATGCTCAGTGAAAAAGCAAGTTGAATGTTGTTGCACTCAGTTTTGTTTTCTTGATTCTTAAAACCATATGTGACTACACCAAACTATTGACAGTGGCTCCCATGTCAGTAGAGAGGATGGTGGAGACTTGCGAGTACATGGGACTTTCATTTGAGAGATTTGCTATTTTTTTTTTCAAATGTTCTTGTTTAACCTTTTATACACTCCAAACATTTTGAAAACTGCTTGAAACCAGGAAATTCTACCTGGAAGTAACAAATGAAACATTAAAGTATAACATTGTTCAATCCCTGGTTAACACAACATTAGCCAGTAGGCACACTGAGTTCTTCAGTAGCTCTGTCAAAGCAATTGCTGTAATATTCTCGAGGCATGGAAGGTCACTTGAGGCTGGGTTGTTCACAGTTTGTTTTGCTCTTCTCCTAGACCATCAGTGTGAAACAGTAAATACCAGCTTTTCATTTCTGGGAGTGTGGCCCTGAATAGAGCTTAGAGATATGTGGAAGCAAGACCATGGCTTCTTGTGCTGATCCTGTTATTTGGTGCTATAGAGAAGGTACCAAATTAAGTTTTAAAGTGTACTTAACTCCCCTGGAAAGCTGGGGTATATTGTTGGTATTTTCCGACTTCCAGTTGGATGATTTTCCTGAGAGGCAAAGGAGGGTGTCTGTGTCTGCAGTGAGTAGGCCACAGCGAATCCTATGCAGACTGCAGGGACAGGAGCACTACAGGTTACATCTCTGTGCACAGAGCCGCTGAGGCCAGGCTGGCGTGGGGTGTATACTTGGTCATCAGCACCCGCATTGGAGCTGGCTGGCACTTGGGCTATTCACAAGAAAGCCAGTGTTTCAGACAACTCATTAATGTGAGTTGGAATACGATTACAAGGTCTGCAGCTGTAGAGTCCAGCAATTTATTTCAGCTTTTATCACCCACTTGTCATCCATGGAAGCTGTTATTTGTTGGTGATATTTTTAGCCTGCCGTGCGTCTTTGCTACTGCTCACTGGAAAGCCAGTGATGGCTCTGGGGCACTGGGGAAGCAGATTGTCTGTTTTGTGCCAGTTTTCAAGTCTTGATTCCCCGCCCTCCCTTTGTGCAGTTGTGAACAAGGACAGCAGAGTTGTTGACTGTAATGTTCTTGAGCAACACTTTAACATTTCAGAGGCTTTTAAGTCTGATTTTAAAAAGAAAGAGTAAAAATTGAGTTTTCATTCCTGTGATAGAAAAGTAGATTCATCCATGATGCTTGTGCTGTGTGTCCATGTATCTGTTTATGTTATTGCTGCTGGGAGTCAAACCCAGGGCCTAGTACATGCTAGACAAATGCCCTACCGCTGAGCTGTGTCCTCAGGTAGTTTATAGTCACATATGTATGTATGCATGTACATATCTCTGTCACAGTGCCTGACCCAAAAAAAAAAAAAAAACCAGCCTCTTAACCTCCTTGAGTTTGATTGCGTATGCAATAGATTTGTTACAGAGAGAGAAATTATTTTTCGGGCAGCATAGGAGATTTCACTTGCCTGCCTCACCTGAGCAGCCACATCTAAGTGAGCAGCGGGTAGAGACAGCTGCTGCTTTGCCTTAGATTCCTCGGCTGTCCTTGTATCGGTGTGAGTTATTCACTGCAGGGAAACAAGTGTCACCTTCACTAGTGAAATATTGTCTTAGGTTCCCACTCTGATAGAAGCCACAACTGAAAGCAAGTTGGGGAAGAGAGTGTTTATTTCATCTCAGGTATTACTCTATTACTGGGGGAAGCCAAGGCAGGAACCTGGAGGCAGGAATTGAAGCAGAAGCCATGGAGGAGTGCTGCTTATTCTCGATACCCCTGGCTTGCTCAGTTTGCTTTCTTACCATCCTGAGACCACCTCCCAGGAGTGGCGTCACCCACAATGAGTTGGGTCCTTTTGATTCAATCATTAATCAAGAAAATGCCCTACACACTTGCCTATAGGCAATTTGGATGGAGATAATTTCTTAATTGAGGTTCCTCAGATAATTCTAGCTTGTGTCAAACTGACTGAGAACCCCCCCACACACACACACACAAAATCAAATACAAAGCAAACAAAAGACAAAATCAACCAGGACAGTTGACCATTTGTCAGCCTGGGACATAGACACACCACTTCAACTGTAAGTGTTCCTTCCTTGTTCATACTCTTAATTCATATTAATATCACAATATAAAACATAAACAACTTTAAAAGCCCCCACAGTCTTTAAAAATTCAAACAATGTAGAATTTTGTCTCTTTAAAATATCCCAAATCTCAACTGTGGGCTCCTGTAAAATTAAAAATAAAAAAAAGCTACATTATTTTTACCCCAATAGGTAAATACCAGTACACATCAAATAAAAGTAAAACCCAAGTTCAGACACAGTATGCTCTGTGTCTGATATCTGGGACTCAGGTCTTCTGGGCTCCAAAGGGCTCCAAAGGGAGACCCAATTTCTTCAGCTCTGTCATTTGCAGCAAACACAGCTTGACTCTTATGCTCAGGCCAGCTTCACTCCACAGCTGTTGTTGTCCTTCGGTCCTGGCATCTCCAATGTGCTGGGGTCACCATAGGCTGCACCTTCATCGATGGCCTGATTCTGCTACACGGTGCACACCTCAGTTTTTCTCCAAGACCCCTTCAATCCTGAGGCCTCCACTAATTGAGGCTATACCTTCACCAATGGCTTCTCCTGGCCTCTTAAAGTGCCAAGCCTCAGCTGCTCTCCATGTCCCCCTTATGGCTTCAGGATGAGTCCCACCTGTGAGACTCTTAGATATTACCAGTTCAGCTGCCAGCATGACATGCAGCCTTGGCTCACTCTGGACCATGGCTTTTATGCACTGACCCTGGGAAAATGTTCCCAGAAGTTTTTATCCCAGTGATGCTGGTCTCTTAATCATTGCCTACTGGCTAGTTTTATGTCTACTCCACAAAAGCCAGAGTCGTTTGGGAAGAAGGAATTGCTACAGAGAGGATGTCTCCATTAGATTGTTTTGAGAGAATGCCTGTATGGTTGATGTAGGAGGGTGCAGGTCACTGGACAATGCCACCCCTGGGCTGGTGTTCCTCAGTGTATAAGAAAGCAGGCCCAGCAAGCCAGTAAACAGCCCTTGTCCATGATCTCTGCATCAGCTCCTGCTTCCAGGTTCCTGCCTTGAGTTCTTACTCTGACTTCCCTGGATGATGAACTGTGATGTGGATTCATAAGCAAAATAATCCTTTCCTTCCAAAGTTGCTTTCGGTTCTGGTATTTTATCACAGCAATAGAGACCCTAAATAGGACAACAGTTAATTTCTCAGCTCCAGCTAACCAGTATCAATTGTGCCAGTAAAACAAAAGTTTCACTTCAGTGGTTGGTACTGGTCTTTTGTTAGTCATATCTGATTCTTCAACCCTAGCTTATTAGAACCACAGATTCTTAATTCGAAATACTACCCAATGGTCCAAGTAGAGTCTGCTTTTCTCTGAAACTTTACAAGCCAGACCTCTATTGTCTGCCCTGTTTTCAACATTGCTATCTTCTAAGCTTCCACAGAACTATTTAGTGTCGTTCCCAGCCCAGAGTTCCAAACACTCTCACAGTCCTCCCCAAAACAACATGGTCATGTCTGTCACAGCAATGACCCACAATCCCAGCACCAATTTCTATATATTAGTTACGTTCCTATTGCTGTGATAGACATGATGACCAAAAGCAAGTTGAGGAGGGAAGGGTTTATTTCAGCTTACACGCTCAGGTGACAGTCCATCATCCATGGTTACTTTTATGAAGGACATTTTGACAGTGGCTTGTCTATCAATCTTGGTGCAAGTGTAAATATACACCTATTATTCAGGTGTCACATTTCAACTTTTAAAGTGCTCTTATGTGGATTCTCTCATGTGAAATTAAATAATGTGGTGTGACTGTTAATTATCACCTGAGTCTGAGAACTGAGAGTGACTGGGAGCTGAAAGATCAGCATTTAAAGGAATACTAGAAGGGGCTCCCCAGAGACAGTGAGCGCAGCAGGTGCAGAGTGATTTCATCTTTGTCTCTGCCTCTCTCCTTCCTACCACCCCCCCCCTCCTTCCTATCACCCCCGGGGACTCCCAGCAGCCTAATTGTGAGGCTGCAGCCCCGTGTACCGGTAAGAACTGTGTTTGGGTCCTTTAGTTATGCTGCTTAATTAGCTGTCCTTAAGCTAAAACAAGGCCTTCAAATGTGTCTTGTACTTCTTTGGGCTGTTTAGCCCTGTGTTCTGGAGGTCCTGCAGAGAGAAGAGGTAGCAGTAAAGAGAAGCGGGCACCTCACTTGTCATCTTTTTACACTCTGGACCCAGTCTGGGGGCTCTCTTTTATTTTATTTTATTTTATTTTATTTTATTTTATTTTATTTTATTTTATTTTATTTTATTTTATTTTATTTTATTTTATTTTATTTTATTTTATTTTATTTTATTTTATTTTATTTTATTTTATTTTCTTCCTGTCTGCGTTAGCCAGAGTCAATTCTCCGACATTCCAGGTTGTAACGTCTCTTGTTTTATGTCAGGTTGCGTCATCTGCCCCTGTCGCTGACCACCCTGAAGTTAAAGGCCTTGTGGTTATCTGACAACCAGTCACAGCCTCTCCTCACGTTCCAGACTGACACTGACCACACCACAGGGGAGAAGATTTTAACTTGTGTCTTACTTCCTCAGATGCCTTCCGAACCTATCTGCCAAGGTGATTCTCTCTTAAGGACCATGAACCGGAGCTAATGTCTTACCCATAGGGCCCCCACTTCCCAAGTGTGCTTGCATCTGTTCGGTTTGCCTTAGTAGAAGCAAGGCAAGGCGTTTGTGTGGCTACTCTGAAAGGGCCCTCTAGGTCTTTATAGGAAAAGGTCACTGGCATCTGTTTATCCTGACTGAAATTCTAAAAGCAACTCTTTGATTTGGAATGACACAGTAAGGATGAAAGTAGACTGCTCATCAGTGGAGTTAAAATTCAAACCGAATTGGAGGATTCCCAGTTAACACCACTGGCACAGTGTCTTTAAACCAGTGAACTATTTTGAAGGATTTTATCTTTGTTTTGTAAATTCTGTTAAAAACAACATTCATACAAATGTCAAAATGATGGTATGAATCCATTGCTGAGAGAGATGGGTTCAGCAGGAATACTGGGGACCCCCAAGCTGAAACTCCAAAATGACCTTGCTGGCCTCAGGAAAGTATAGCAAATTGCCATGAAGGAGGGTACCAGCCTCCCTCAACTGCAGCCATACCATGATAAAAAGAAACAAATAAACAAACAAAAAATCAAACAAACAAACAAACAAAAAACCAGGAAACTGTGCTTAATGTGTGACAAAGAGCCACAAAGCACCCTTCAGTGTGTTTGAACTGTTTATGATGAAGCATTCAGCATCCCAATCTAATCAGTACCCCAGAGGATGTCAAGTGGAGTTCCCCGAGAAAGGACCAATTCTGCCCAGGCCTTTTTGCTTCTTGTTTTATGTTTTAACCAAAAGCCAAGTTTGGAGGTTGCAACAGTGGTCTGCCCTCCTTATTTTTGGCACTGTGGTCCTCTGTGTGGGTTCTGACCAGTGAGCCACTAAATTACAGTGTAGCCATTCCCAGTTCCATGGCCAGCATTCCCTGCTGATGTTGTCTTTGTCACTGCAGAGAGCCTGTCTCGCTGTGGTGCCCTGGAAAGCCTGGTGAGTGACATCTCTGAGGATGCCTGGAATGACCGCACAGTACACAGAGTTAGTGCAATCCGGTTTTTGGAAGATGAAAAGGATGAAGAGGAAAACGAAACGGTATGGGAGTGGACATTCATCCAAGATTGACACTGGCGCCTAATAATGGATTTTCTTTGTTTTTGTATAGTATACTTTGTATTTTTGCCTTTCCACATCTAGGTTTTCTGTTTGTTCATTTGTTTTTTAAACAATACTAATTCTCCAAGCACTGATACAGATTGAATTTTTGACATTTTTGTTACTTGAATGGTTGTGGCGTTTTTATTTGTGATAGCTTCTCCCTCTGTCCCCATATTTTTCTCTAAAATTAGCAATTTTTCCTTTTTTCTTTTTTCTTTTTCTTTTTCTGTTTTTGTTTTTTTGTGTTTTGTTTTGTTTTTCTTTTTTCGCTTGTGTGAAAGACGAAGTCTTCCTAACTCCAATACTGCTTATGGCTGGGTGGTGTTAATTCCATTCACATGTCATATGTGACTCAGTGCAAGGCATCTCTCTTCAGACCACCATGGCCCTTATGTAGAGTTTTGTGATCTTGGTTGAACTAACTTGGCAAGTTTCCATTTATAAATCAGGAATATATTTGAAGCTCCACTCTTTCGGTTCATATTTGAAAATGTCTCTCAGATGTATTGTGTCTCAGTTCTTGATTTGATACTGATTTACACTGGCTGGTACTTTCTTTTTTAAGTTTTTTTTTTTTTTTTTAATTTCCAGTCATGTGTGTGCATGTGTGTTTGAGTATGCATGTTGCCCAAGGAGGATGGAAGAGGCTGTTGGATGCCCTGGTGCTGCTGACTGTAGTTACAAGCAGTTGTATTCTGTCCAACATGGGTTCTGGGAACTGAGCCTGAGTCTTCTGGAAGAGCAGTTATGTGCTCTTAACTGCTGGGCCATTTCTCCAGCCCCTACACTAGCTCTTTAAATTCTCTGTACCAGTTGGGTTTTCATAAGCAGTGTTTAGAGCGGGTGCTCGAAACCCCAACCTCCCTGCAAGCAAAGGGTACTTTAAAATTGTCTTTAGTTATCCAGTTGTCCCCAGATGAGACTTTCGGCACCTGCCTTAGTAGGGAGAAAAATGGGAATAAGGGATGATAAAAGAACTTCAAAGTTGGTAGTTCTTTAATGCCTACCACTAATGTCCAGAGTGTAATTATTTCAGTGGTTCTTTACCACCTCAGTAATGCTCTTTGTTAAGCTAATGTGTTCCAAGATAGGTCTTTCAAAAGATGGAAACGCCACTTTGTGAGATAATGAGAATGTCACATATTAATTAACGGGAAAATTTACAAATTGCTAAGGCCTGTTACTTAGCTCTCAGCACCATGGTGACCTTTGTTACTTTCATCAGAACAGTGAATGGCCCACAGCAGTCAAACCAGATGAAGTCCCATTGTTTTGCTTTCTCTTTTTCAACTCCCAAGGCTCGAGTGGTGAAGGAAACCAGAGCCACTCTGAATATTTATATATATATATATATATATATATATATATATATGTATATGTATATGTATATGTATATGTATATGTATATGTATATGTATATGTATATATATACATTAAATTTAATTTAGGATATTTCTTTTTCTTCTTTATTCTATAATTATATCTTAAATTTTGTTATTTTCCATCAACATGTAGAATATGTTTTATACTAACTTTTAAATGTATTCCTTTATTCTAAAAGTAATATCGTCTGTCATGACTACAAAGTTACTTTAATGTTCTATGAACTCTGGGTGAGCAGCTGATGAGTGCACATAGCTGGGAATAAAGCTGCTTCCCCTGGAACTTGGATTTCTGAAGTTGTAAAATATGGATTGGAATGTTCTAGCCTCAAAGCTGCATGCTTTGAAACAATAGTGGATAAAACCAAACACTTGGGCCCCTCTGTTTGTTTGCAGAGAACACTTCAGAGGCGAGCCACTCCACACCCAGGAGAATTAAAGAACATGAAAAAGTCAGTGGAGAATTTACGGAACGACATGAATGCTGCCAAAGGACTGGATTCAAACAAAAACGAGGTCAACCACACCCCTGACCGAGTGACCACTTCAGTGTAGCATTGGCCTCTGAGTTCTACCTACTGTGTCTTCCCTGCTGTAGAGATGTTCCTGTGCTTGCGTCCATCCGAGGAGCCTCCTGCAGTCCTCGTGCTCACCATCCCTGTGCCAGGATGCTGCTCTCGCACAAAGTGCCTTACGCATCCCTCAGTCACTTAGGGTACCAGTGGGCTCTCATCCTGATTGCTCCTCAATCTCAGTTGTTCATAATGTGTAGAATACACTACTGTCAACACATCTGACCTTCGTTTTTGTCTTATGTTGGGCTTAGAGCAGGAAGGGGAATTCCAGCCTTCTTCCCTCTGTTGAGTGCTCGACAGTTTTGAACCTAAGTTCTCATGGACCTACTGATGAGAGGAAGCTTTATGTATGGAAAAAAAAAAAAGATACTTTTTTAACTTTTCATGGCAGCTCAGATGGTGTAAATTTTAAAAATTTTGTATAGGTATTTCATAACAAAAAATTATGTATTTCTTTGTTATTTTATCTTGAAGACGGTACATATTTTCGTATTTGTGCAGAAAAACAGATTAGGCCTAAAGTATTCGTTTTTTATCTGTACCATCCACTCCGTGCCTTACTGTATCCTGTCCTGTCAAACCAGTTGTAAACAGTGGCATCCTTGAGCATCGAGATGGGAATATGAGCGTGGTCAATTTAAAGCAGTGTTGCATTTTTAGCAAGTAATGTACCAATGGATTTCTTTGTTAACCAAAAAGATGAATTTATCAGTGATTTGTAAGTTTTATCCAGTGATTTCTTCAAAAAGACGAGCCGGAGGATTAGACTGCTGATATGTCATTTCCTATGCTTTCCCTTGTCCTAAGTTTTAATGAGTGCAGCATCAGACTGTGCCTGCTCCAAAGGCATGTGCCATTTGTATAATGATGTACAGCAGAAAAGCACAGAAAAAAAAAAACTGGTTCAGAAATTCAATGGATCAATAACTTATGTATTGTAGAAGAATAACTCTTATTGAAGAAAGCTTTAAAAGTTTTTATACCCAGATAAAAAGACCACAATAAAGCAAAATAGAATATACCCTAATAGAAATGTTGCTATCTTTATACAAGTGCACTTTGAATTGTAAATAGTTTTAATCAAAGCATAACAAAACACTGCTTCAAGATTTACTTTTAAATCTGCTAAGTTAAGGGGTATGTCTTTAATGTGTTTTTGTTGTTTTCTTTTTTATGTATGCTGTGATGAAAGAGAAGTGCAAAGTGCCAGGCACTGTGTGGTGTCTGGGAAATCATGGGTTGTTTTATTTGGAGGGGGGTTGTTCCCTACAAAATAAAATCATCATGGACATTGGCCATATAGCTTTTTAAAAATTATTACTTTGTGTGTTCAAATGGTAGCAGGTAATTTAGTTCTTGGACAGAGTGTTTGTGTCTGCTGAGTGTCTAGGTTTTGGCCAGTTTTGAGAAACTTCTGGGGAGATTTCATTCATGAGTCATTTTGCCACATGGGGCAGAACCCAGAGCTGCCTTCAGTGTGGGTTTGTAACTGTGAGTGAGCTGTAGCACCTGGCCAGTCGGACATCTTAGAAACCCTCTTTTAACCAAGCAAATGTAATTCCTTCTGTTGTCTCCATTGGGTCACTTACCTGTGTGCACTTTTGGTATGTCCCTGTGTAGATGCATTTTTAAAATCCGGGAGGTGAGAGTACGTGGCATTTAATGGTTTTCAGCTTTGCCTGCTAATCAGTAGGGACCCATTTACTTTTCTCCATTCTGATTTTAAACCTGTAAAACTGATAGTTGTATTTCAAGGACTGATTCTATGTAGATAAACATAGAGATTTTTATTTTACAAGAGTCAGCTTGACTGAAAAAAAAAAAAAAACGAAGTTTCCCAGTGTATTTGTTCATAGTTTTCATATAAAGGCCACCATTTGCTACTCAGTTTTATCTTGGCTTTAATGAATGGGTGGAGATAGAGACACACAGACATCGGGGGAGTTAAGAGAGAGTTACTGTAGGAAATGCTTTGTGCCTAATTATTTCCTTCCTTCAGCCTATTTCCTTTATGCCATGTCCACCCAGCTGGTTTGTTCTGGTTTGAATTTGGGACTTGAGAGGTTTTGTTTCATCTTGACCTTTTATGTTGGCTAATTCTGTGGTGCTCTTAAGCTTCAGGGTAGTGGATGCAAACTTCCGCTCTACAGTACAGTCCGCACCAACTCAGCAGCCCCAGCCTGAGGATACCCAGGCTTTCTAGGAAGGGAAGGGATGTGAAAACTTCCTGTCCAGTAGCCAAGTTCCTGACCTTTTGCTGGGGTGGAATGGGTGGGGCGTGAGAGTGGGCAGTACTGTCACTCCTCTGCCTACCCCTCCCTTCCTTTAGGAAAGGGAGGAATTCAGTCTTCCACTAACTTATGTGTCTGATGGGAGTAATAGGTAAAGGTAGAAAAAGAAAATGTTTATAGGAACATATTCACCTAATTTCCTTCCACAATCTTTTTTATTCCCTCTTTGTCTTTTAATCAAGTCAGTTATATATCTCAACTGATAAAGTAATAAAACAACAAAATCCACATCCTTAGAGGAGATGAAGTCAAAGAGATAGTCATTGATGATGAAAGTGGTGACCAGCAAAAAATAGTAAACTGATTACCCAAGTGTTGGTTTTCTTCTGGAAACTTTAAAGGAGTTATCGATAGCCAGCCAACTCAAATAGTTTACCAACTGGTTGTCTGTGAGAGCAAAAACACCAGCCTTTTTGCATAGCAGCCCTTCTGCCATCATCTGGGAGATTGCCATGCCCATGAAGACATAATTAATGAATGGATGAAGGCCAGGGAAAAAAAGTCTGTCAGGAAGTGACTCTGGAGCCAGTCCTATCCCTGTGAAACTGCCCTCTTTGTCCCATGGGCACCTGGCAGGTGTGTGGTGAGGGACTTTGACTCGAGCTGCTGGTAGACACAGGTGACATCCTCAGAGAGTTAGACTCTCAATTCACTGATTCCTATTGGCTGACTTCACCCAACTTTCCAAAGAGCCAGTTAAGACATTGTTTTAAGAAGACCTCAGGCTTCTGATTGTGGGAAATTGAAGACACGCAAAAGTAAAGTTACATAATGGGTCTTGACATGCCTGTCACCTTCACCAAGTGTCAACACAAGATCAAGAGGCTTTGTCTTTAAGGGACTGAAATGACGTTTTAATTTATATGCAGGAAAAAGATGACCATATGTGTACTTAAAAGAAAGTAAGGAGGGGAAAGAAAAGAAGGACCTAAGTGTACTCTTTGAAAGATCATTTTGGAGTTAATTTTGAGTCAAGATGCCAATGAAATCGTGGGTTTGAATCCCAGCCACGCCACATGGACTTGATTAAGCGATTTAGCCTCTAATAGCTTAGAGGGGACTAAATGAAGTATATGGAACACACGCTCTCAGGAAATTGATGGTTGCTGTTATTACAGGCCCTGCTCCTATGACAGTGATGTCACTAGGAGCTCTGCAGTCCATATCAGCTCTCAGTATGTGAGTAGGCAGGCAGCATTCTCAGGAGTAGGCTCTACCAGTAACTGCCTAAAATCTCTTCTGTTGGTTTAGATATGGGCCCCATGTTATATAAGGGGAGTTTTGTGCTCTGTAGCTCAGCAAAAATTTGCTGGCCTCAAACTGGTGGTGCTCCTGCCTCCATTCCCTGGTGCTAGGATTATAGACATGCACCACTGTGACTAATTCTGATTTAAATGCATTTCAATTAGTTTAGTTAATGGTTAGGTTCCCAAGGGTCTCTGTCAAACTAACTCCTTTTTCCTGGACTTAAGAACTCCTCTGCAAGCTGGGCACTGGTGGCGCAGTCTTTAGATCCAGCACTCTTGAGGCAGAGGCAGGCAGATCTTGCAGTAAGTTTAAAGAAAGAGTTCCAGGACAGCCAAGGCTACACAGAGAAACCCTGTCGGAAAAGCTTCTACCAAGAAACTGCTAAATACCTAATTAAGGAAAAAACTGTTTCCCACAAAATATTTTCCATTCTGCCATGACCTCACTTTTATATTTTAAGTCAGTGGGACTCAATTTTATTCCTTGTTTCAACTTTAACCCTGGCCTTTTTATAATTCCCTCCCTTTTAACATACTCTTTTGTCTCTTTTCTCACAGGAGCGCCTAGGCTGGAATGGATCAGGAGGGAAAAGTAGCTTTAAAACGCTCATCCTAAAGGGAAATGCCTGGAGACGACGCTCATGTTAATACAGCCTGAGCTGGGAGGGTGGAGTTGCTTCTACCTTGCTGGGTGTTTAGAAAGCCCAGACAGCTGGCTGGAAAGGAAGACTAACAAGAGGAACCTGATGGGGAGGAGCCTGCAAAGCTGCAGACTGCAGGAAGGGTTTTTGTTCTTGCCTGTTGGCCAGAAGGGCCGTAATTTTAAACCGTGAGAGCAGGCTGGCAGTCGCTATGACAGGCAAGAATCTGCTGTGGTTGTTTTTTTTTGTTGTTGTTTTTTGTTTTTTCCTTCCATTTCTTTTGAGGCATGAACATTTAACTTCTAAAATGATGGGCCTCTCCTGGTTAGGTAGAAGATACCACCTCCAGGTGCCCTCCCACCAAGCTAACTGAACACAGTGTGATTTCCAGAGTGACCCTCTGATGTAGATCACAGTTTCACTTTGCAAAGCCACGAATTAAGATTCAAACGATTTCATAAATAAGCCCAAGATCAAGCCGTAAATCAAGGTCGGAATTAAATTTGCTCCTCTGCTGACTCGCATCTGTGATTGCAGTTTTATTTTCCTTGACTTCCCCCTCTCCCTGCCACAGCTGGGAACCTGCAATTACATTTTAGAGTTGTATTTAGAGTGGTGAGGAGACTTCTGTCTTCATGTACTCAGGTAATGCAGGCCTAAATTACGGACAAACACTGGAACCGCGTGAGATGTATGCAGAGCCAGGTCTTTATTTTATCTAGTTAGGGGTGTTCTTGCCCACCACTCACTCACTCCACACCATGGTGTCCTTTTTAAGTGCTGCAGAGATCCCCACGGGGTCGACGTTCAACCACGCCAAGTGGTACTAATCTTAAGGAGCTTGGGAGATAACTAAGTGGTTAGCGCATGACCAGAACAAATTGTTGTTTCTGCATTAGCATGTCCCAGGTATTGGAGGGCAGCTCTAGAGTGGGCCAGTCACTTAGGAATGGTTATATATTTTTTGTGATCATCACTATTTTTAATAGCCCTCCCTTGGAGAGAAGTCATGTACTAGGAGATCTAAAATGATGCATCCTGACCTTCCTGCAGTTTGAGGATGAGAATTGTGACTAAGGATCTCTCTCTCTCTCTCTCTCTCTCTCTCTCTCTCTCTGTTTCTCTGTTTCTCTCTCTCTCTTGTCTGCCTCCAAAAAGACTTGCTGTGAAAGATGGGCAAACTGTATTGCTGTTGTGTGGAGACTTTCATAAAGAAGCAGGAACAAGATGGAAAGCTTGTAGGACTACCCTGTCTTTCACTTTCTTTGAAACTGGCTCTTCTGCCTGGTCATAGGAAGAGAAAGCTTCATGCATTCTCCACAAGTCAAGAGACCAGACTGGCACCAGGGTGTGGTAGGGGGACGCCCTGGATCCCAGCGAATATAAATGCCTCTTTAGATGGCTGCTGGAAGTATGTCGTAAAGGTACCAACTGTAGTAAATAGTTTGGAAAAAGCTGCCTGAGTGGCTGCCCTCAGCACCTGAGAAAATATTTACCGGAAGTGGGCTCTTCTGTCCCGTGTATGTCCTGTCTGGTGCTGTCACACGGGGCCGCAGCTTGCTGCCCTTCCTCCAGCTGGAGGTGTGAGTACTTGTTTGTTTAAACCTAGCTCAGCACTGCGTGGAAAAACAAAACAACAGGCTTACTTGTCCAGGCATTGAAAGTTCTTCCTGAATTTTTGTCCTGCCCATTGGCCCAGAGGCATAATGGGTGCGGTGAGTTTCGGTAATAGTTTGGGAAGTTTCGAGAACAGGCTGTGGGCTGGGTCTGCTGGGTTAGGGTTGCCTGTGAATTTAATCATTTTGGAGCATCTGAGGGTCAGGAACATTGCCATAGACGCCGTGGGAGGGCCTGTTCCACCCTCCTCCTGATGGATGGCAGCAGATGCATATAGGAAGGCCTTTGCAGAGGCCTGACACTGAGGTAAATAACCCCCATCCATCCATGCTGGTTCCTTCTTAGGTGCCTGAAAGGGATGCAGTGTAGAAAAAGCACCCACTTCCCCACACCGGCTACCTATCCTCCCTTGGAGGGCTATTAGCAAGTAGATGTCCTGACACCCAGTTGAAGCAAATCATTGGAAACTCAGTTTGTCACCTGTGGTAACTGTACACTGGTAGA